CCATCTACAAGCATATGCATGTAATTGAATGACTGTTGTTTATTCAAAGAGAAACTTAAAATGATATTTTCTGTTTTATTTCATTGCTGGGACCAGTTACGGGGCACGACTCCCAGTTTTCCCATGTTTTGAATCATGTGGCTGCGTTACACAGCAGTGACCGAAACACACAGACAGGCCAAAGTGCTGTGGACGAGGCCTTATGAGGTATTATCAGTATTCACATTTACACCACAGTTATCAGAGCGGTCATGACGTTTTCATTCATCACCTTATTCCCAAAATATAAAACAATTGTGTCAAAGCAGTTAAAGTTCCCCAGTAAACACAGACACACTTGATCTAAGCATTCAAATCATCTGAAAAACAGTTGTACAAAGCCAAAGTCACGACAACGAGCCTTCTGTTAGAATCTAAACTCGACTTTTTTCTCATCCAGGTGAGATCTGAGTAAATGATGGGGGCGGCGCCCCCTGACTCCTCACCTGCTCTGGAAGTAGTTTGCTAGTTCGGATGCCTCATGGTTCAGACTCCTCAGGTGTACAATTAAATTGCCAGAGTTGGTGAACATGGCGCCGCACGTTTTGCACTCATAAATCCGCGGCTTGCGGATTATGTGTCGGGAGACCCTCATGTGGTGCTTATATTCACCGAAGGACGTGAATGTGGCGCTACAAATCTGGCACCGGAAACAGCGTTTACCTTCGTGCTTCAGCCGATGCATCTTTAGGGAGTAGGCCCGTGTGAACTTTTTCCCACAGCGGTCACACTGGAAAGGTTTAATGCCTGGAAAAAGAGACAAAACCACGCTTGCTGATCTGTACATTAGCATAACACAAGTGTTTGTGTCCACGCGTGTGAGATGTTAAGCTTTTTTAAATCAGTCTCCTTGAAAGTCTCTTTGTTTCCTGAGGCATTTACAAGAGCAGCAGCTTGTATCGTTTAACCTTTTTATTAGGGATGCACCGATACCGATACTGTAAAATGTGTGTGTACTCATACTCGTAAAAGTTAACCGATACCATGAACCGATACCAACTTATTTCATTAATCAGAGGGTGGCTTGTCATTTCTGTTGTAGTTTTTAGATTGGCCACTAGGGGGCCGATTATTATTTTATTTATTATTTATTTTATAATAATTATTTTGTTTGTTTGTTTATAATATGGACACTCTGCAATAATTTAAACGTTTATTTTATTCACAAACCTAATTTGTATTTATGTTATTCCAAACAGAAGTGTTTATTTATTATTCTGAAAGCTCGAGACAGTGCCAATAGTTCAGTGATATTCTGTAAAATTACAATGTGGAGACTCTGCAATAATTTAACAGAAGTGCTTATTTTTCACTTGAAATTTTTTTGTGGTCATTTTTATTAAGATTTTATTTTTTATCGGCAGAGAATAAAATAAAACCTGTCTTCCAATTAATTGCATTTGTGTGTGTGTGTGTGTGGTAGAAGTATCGGTTTTTGTACTCTGTATCGGCAAGTACTCAGATCCAAGTATCGGTATCGTATCGGTTTGAAAAAATTGGTATCGTTGCATCCCTACTTTTTATTAAAATCTTCATTAGCAACTTCACAACCAAGAAATGTATCAACCCAGTTGTTCTTCTTGTCTCCAAGTAAAAAGACAACAATGTCTCAGAAAAATGTCTCAGAAAACAAAGGCTGCAACATTTTTGTTTACTTCAAAGGGCCGTGGTGCTGTGCATATATGAAGGATCTTGTGATGCACTTGCGTTCATATTTCACCTACCGGAGTGTATGAGCATGTGCTGTTTCAGGTTTTGAATGCGTGTGAACCGGACTCCGCAGGTCGGACACTGAAAGGGCCGGTCAGGGCCGTTGGTGCCAGGCCGTGTAGAAGGACTGATGTAGAGATGGTACGGATACTGAATCCCTTCCAACCTGAAACACAAACAGAGGACTAGTCATTGATGCAGCCCAGTCTACAGTATAGAGCTCTCTTCTTCTATTTTAACAGTGCTGACAGCGGATCAGGGTAACAACTCGACATGCACAACGTTGCAGAAGTGTGCATAAACAAGCATGTGCGTGCACCTACACATACCGTTGTTGCATCTGCTGGTTATAATATCAGGAGCTAACAGAAAGCACAGCCCTAACCAAGCATATATGTGTTTATATGTGTGGTGTGATTAGTGATGACAGCGATGTGCGCCACACTGAGGAACGTGCTAACACACATCACACAACAACCATTCTTTAGATTAGCGTGCATCATTTAAACACGTCTTTATTATCCAACCAGGTGTGGCCCAGACGTTCAGTCTACGACGTCTATATGTTCTTTCCTACTTTATGATTGGTTCACAGCGAGTTTCAACAAATCACGATACCTCTCATCATCTTCCGCATGTCCTCCAGCGTTAGAGGTGCTCTGCATTGACGGTAAGCCCTCTGACACGCCCTCATCCATCGAGCCTGGGAAGCAGGAGGGAAGAAAATGACTCACGGTAGCTGTCGACTGACAATAAAGCCTAAAGACATCTTGGACACGGTTAGACTAACGCACTCTTTGAAGGCTAATCCGCTGCTTCGGGATTGATGCTGCTGGATAACAAAGCACTGTGCCACTGAACAGTTTAGGAAAAAATGACGAATGTTTCCATTTCCTTTTTTTATTTATGGAAAGGCAGAAAAGCCTTTCAAGCTGAATTTGGACCAGTGGACAATAAAACTTTCCACTGAGACAATACAAATAAAAATGCAGTGGGTGGAGGCAGCTCTGGGAGCAGGGCGAGGCAGGTTCGACTGCACACTTTGCAAAGCAGCGCCGTCTTAAGTGGGTCAGGACACAGCCCCGTTACACCAGTGAGAAACACAACATGCACATCGAGGTTTGATCTAAACCGAACGTTTTAACCAAATATAATCGTGCACATGTGATGCAACAATGCACCGTGCAGGTAGGACGAAGACGCTCACCTATGGAGGAGGACTGTGGACTGATGAGGAGCTCCTCTTGGACCTGTTCGCTCCCCGGCACCGTCTGCTGGTCACTCAGCGAGCTCTGAGAGGCACTGACTGGCTGTGACGACGCTTCCTGGACCTCTTCGTCACTGAGACGCTCCACCTTCACCCTTACATCCTCCTCCTCCGCTGCGACAGGTGAAGACACCGTCTTTGAGCTCTCGCACGTTAGGTAGTCGCTGAGCCGACGGCCAACCACTACCTCCGAGGTCCCCGGGGTTCCCTGCTCCAAACAGCGAGGGCTCTCCGGCAGCTTCGATTTGTCCGAGTGAAACCGCCGGTCGATGCCGAAAGGGAAAGTCCAGGGGAAGGCCAGGGAGGACTCCACGGGCTGGGCCGCGCTGTCTGAGAACGAGGGCGAAGGGTTGGGGATCTGAGGGGAGGTGGTGACCATCTGTGTAGTGCATTTGAGCGGACTCTCGGGGGAAGCCATCGACACGAAGCTTTTGCGTTTCCTTCGCGATTCGCGGCAGATGGGAACATTTCTTTCCATCACGCTGCAGTCGGAAGACACCGGCGACACGCTGCCGTCCAGCGGTGTCAGGGCACAGTTCGACGAGGCGCTCTCCGGTGCCGATTCGTGAGGTTTATCCGCTCCCATGTTGTTGTTGTTATTGTTGTTACCCGGAGTCCACAGAATACTCGACTTCATGAACTCCGAACACGTACTAGCCACGGCAAACATCTGCATGTAGCTGGCAGCTGCCAGGACGTCGATGATATTCTCCGTGCTGATGGAAAGAGTCGACGTGTAGGCGTACTCCAGCAGGGGCGCGAAACCGCTAACCGTCACGTGGTGAAGGTCCAACACAAACTTGTCCTCCTCCTCAGGCCGGCCCACCAGCTTGGAGCGGAAGAATTCACTGCAGCAGGCCAGAACCACTTTGTGGGCCAGAAAGAGCTTGTCTTGGACTCGGATGGTGACATCGCATAAATGACCCTCGTTGCGCAAAGCGTTGAGCTTCTCGAGCATCTCCTGGCTGTGCGAGGTCGAGCTGTGGGTGAAGGTTTTCACCCCCATGTTGGAAGTCCTCTTTATCCAAAGGATGCGTGTCCTGCAGAGACAAGAAGTCATAAATAAATGCTTCAGTTTGGAAAAGAGTAGTATTGCCGCGCCAGTCCTTTCTACTGGTAACAGAAACGGATCGCTGTGAATATACTTTGGATATTCTCCAAGATCCTTTTTAAACCTGAACCAAACAATGTAAAAATGATACACCGTGTAGCTGCTGGTCAGGTGCACGACTAATTAGACATATTTATACATACATATGTCACATATTCACACTCTCCAGTCAACGCATGAGGAGAAACTCTGGTTCTGCATCAGCACGAGGACACTGACGAGCAGACTGGGAGGTCAGGGATCAAACCAGCGACCTCCTGAGCCACAGAGAAAATAGAAAAACACTCATGAAAAGATTCACCTTTCTTGTATTCACTTCTTGAGCTGTTGTTTATTATAAATCAGTCATAACTCAATC